GGGAAAGAGACCTGACCATACACAAGCAAGCACGTTGTACTTTAATTTCTGTGCTTTTTAATCTATTTTTGTAAGTTGTTTCTTGATGATTTCTTTAACAGTTACATATTATTAAATGTTTCCACATGAAATATAATGCTATTTTCCTAAGTAAGGAGGAGCCCTAACTTGTGTGTATGGTAAAGCCATTAGATATATTCTAAAACTTGTATAAATTTAGAGAATTAGTTGGATCATTGAATGTGAGCCTTCCATGCTAAGGGTATCACTTTTCAGACTTGTCTAATAGGGGATTTTTCCTGTTAATTGTTCATCTGGAAAAAGTGATTTTCATGCAAGTTGTGTAATTATTTTAGGGTTTTTTTCTCTCTAATTAGAGTGGACTAAATGGATTTTGATATTTTGGTAGCCTCTAAAAAGATAGTTTGGGTGCTATATTTCAAACCAACAGGACTTGAATATATTTACTGTATGGTTGCTGCTGAAAAGACACTAGATAAAACTTTTGTGTCTGCACAACTTTTGACTTCACTGCCCTAACAGTGCACAAAATGGCATCTGCATTGTAGATGTGTCAGCCGCATTGTAGTTTTATCAGCAGTCATTTTTTCTGAAGTTTTCATCACTTCGGATGGTGAGCTGAGCTAGTGCCTGCATTTGATGTCTTACCCTGTTTTAACAGCCTGGACACATCTTGGGAGTTAAATTAGTAACACAGACTTCTATTACTGAAGTGACAGATACAGAAAAATGTTTAAGCAAATATAGCTTTGTTTGTGTAAGTTGCAACATCAGTCTGTTTTTAGTTTGCAATGTGTTTTCTGCTGGTGTGAAGGAGAAGTGGAAGGAAAGTTGGAGTGCTCCATTTTAGCCTTAGCACTGCATTTTCATGGGGCTACATCAATACAACAGCTTCAACACTCGTTCCTTTCCATGGTTGCTATAGAAATGGTTACAATCTTGTGACTATTACTTCATGTTTCATCTGTCTCTTTTTGGCTTTTTGAACAAAATTCTTCTGTCTCTTGGTGACCATGTCATTCTTTTAAAAAAAGGGCAGGTCTGGTAAGTTTTGCTGCCAGCTTAATGTATTAACCAGCTGCTGCTTACTGCTCACCTCGGCTGAAGTCGGCTAGTTCACTGCTGGTTTGCCTGAGCAGCGATGAGTTGCCTTTCTGCTAGAGCACAGCTAACCGTCAGTGTCCTGGTGGCAGTGGGGTTTTTTCTCACAGTGGCCCACTGTGAAATAAAGTGGCCTATATGCTACTTCTCAGTGCCAGCCCATCCTCTCCCTGTGATGACGGGGAATACAGGGACCCTGTCTCTAGTTCTGCAGTGACTAGGGGTGACTTCTTTTCCTTTACTCTGTGAAAGAAGTAATTGCCAGAAACCCTGAACACTTCTGGCAAGAACAGCAGAAACATGCATCTGTGATACCTGCGCTGTCCAGTTCAAACTTGCACTACTTCGTAATGTGTTTTCTAATCTAAAGCTAGCATTGTTATATTTGAAGTTTATTTTGATTGAAGCTCTATAGACTGAAATTTTTGTCACTCACACTAAGTGATTTCAAAGAAGTTATGAATAAAGGTTTAGTATTTTCAGAAATAACATTCTGCATGAAGTGTACTTTGTATAGTTGTGGGGGTTTTTGAAACTGTTTTAGAGATTTACACACAAGCTAATACAAGCTTGATATAATTCATAAAAACTTACACATCATAATTAAGTTCTGTCATCGAAGTAGAAGTACAGGACTCTTTTCAACCTTAAACCTTTAGAAACTTAGTATTGTTTGAAAGTTATTGGGGTTCTCTGTAATGAAGTCTCTACACCTTTGCTTTCAACTTTTTGGCAAAGCACTCTTCTTGCTTCCATATAATTAACAGTTATCCTGTGTAATTGATAGTGGTAAGCAGCTTCCAGCCTTGCCATTCAGTATCTCTACCTCCTTTTCAGCCATTAAAAATACATGGCACTGGTGTTAATTTTTATGCAGTGAAACTGTTCTTTAGACTATGTGGATAAATTAAATTTGCCTCTCGAAAAATAGCAATACTGTTCATGTTCTTAGTGATCCTGGGTGAAAAAGTTCTCTTTAAAACTCAAACTTCTTTTCTGTAGTATAGAGAATGCTAGTCCCTTTGGGAAATCTTCTGCAGTAAGCAGTGAAGTATTGACGTCCTAGGGAGAAATGAACTTTTTTTTTTTCTTCCTTGATGAACCTTGTTTGCAGTACCAATAGTCCGATGGTGAAGAAAAGAGGAAAAGGAAGCACCTGATCCTGGTGTAATTTGGAAGCCTATGAGTAATCTGGGCAGTGATGGCATTGTAACTGGGAACCTAGTTAGCAGTTGTTTTGGAGTGTCTGAGTCTTTGACAATAATCCTTTATCAATATCAAATGAGTTAGTTGCTGATGAGAAGATTGTGGATTGTGAGCACTTATTTGCCTAATAAAGGGAGATTTCCAATAGCGTTCTGTTGCTGCTGTTTCCATCTGAGTTCTTAAGACATACAGCAAAGGGACCGGTGTCATCCTGGCATTTTCTTATAATTTCTGAACTGCCTAAATCTGCTTGCATAGTCTACTTGCTGTCAATGGTAGTTTCTTACGCCTAAGGAGTAGTTCTGGGAGAAACTCATCCACAGGCAGTTACTCAAGTTCACCTTTCTTAGCACAGAAGCATAATAGAGGCTTCCAAAGCTATTTGGCTGTGTTGTTATAAATACAAGTGTGGCAACCCTTCTGTATTCATAATTCATAGTTACAACTTGTTGACAGTACTATTGACCTGTATCAGATAAGAGTATCGATGAATGCTAGAAAATTGCTAGTTTAACTCTGAGACATAAAATTGCAGCAGCAATCATGTCTACTGACAAACAGTTTGACGATAAGCAAACACAGTGAGTAAAAGAGAAGTAATATTTAGGCCAGATAGGTGGATCAAACAATTTTGGATTCTTCCACAGCGGTTCACGTGTAAATGTTTTGCTCCAAGACCATTGCTGAGCAGATAAATTTTGGGTTCAGCTATGTAATCTCAATGTAATAATGGTTTGCAGATGTATGAGGCTTTGACTATTTGTTAAATGAAAGCTGAGCAAGCCAGGAAGAACTTGCTTTGAATGTCATATCCCTGCTAAGACTCCGCACGTTATGCTTTTGGGATCTTGAAAACCGTTTCCTTCAGAACAACCGAAAGAGAGCAAATATGATCATGTGTAACACTTAGAATCCATCTTCAAACCAAAACAAATTATTGTAGCACGTACTGTTTTAATGCTTGCTGTGTCGCTAGTATAACCGGGAAAATGTTAAAAAGAGAGTTTAAGATAGGCTCTCCAGATTTTACGTGTGTGTTGGGTTCTCTGCCTAGTACCATGGGGAAATAGTACAACAAAATGTTCTTCCTTTTTTTCAGTTTGGACGCCACAGGTTGAACCCAGAGAACCGAACACTAGGCAGTCTTAGAAATGTTCTTTACCTTCTTCAGCAGAGAGTAAGGTGAGCTTTCTGTTTTTTTCTAACATGATGTAGGAGACTTGAGTGTTACTAATATGTTGAAAATGTTGCTGGATCTGACTTTGATTTCTTTTTGCCTCCCTCAAACTTGCTCCTTGAGTCAACCTGGGGTTTGTAATATATTGCAGAATTAGTACACAAAACCAAATTCTTCTAAATATCTGTACAGTAAGTAGTATCAAGGATAACTATGGATACCAATTAATTCACCTCTCATCTTGAAAAGAAACAAGTTTCTTGCACAAAAGACTTAACTTTCTGTAGAATTTTCTCTTTAAAATATTATTAACCATAGCTGGCACTCAAGATCAAGAATAAACTTAAGATTTTTGCAGTTGTCATTAACTTGTGATATTAATTCTTCTTTAGTGTGCCAATTTACTTATAGAAGCCTCTTCACACTTGTTTTCTTGTTTGTTTGTTGTGTGTTTGTGTGTTTTGTTTTGTTTTTTCCCCCCTTCTTAGGCGTTTTGGATTAATGGGACTCTACAAAGGCCTTGAAGCAAAGCTCCTGCAGACAGTCCTTACTGCTGCTCTTATGTTTCTGGTGTATGAGAAACTGACTGCTGCAACCTTCACAGTCATGGGATTAAAGCATTCGCGCAGACATTGAAAAAGGAACCTATGCCAAAGATTATGGGGTCTAGAAAACATGTTCCATTTCTGAGACCAGGCTGGGTAACAAAGGGTCCTCACTTTCTCTATTTCTTTCTTTTTAGCCACTTCCATCTCCATTATTTGAAGAAATTTGGAATATACTCTATAGGACCTGTTGCCATGAATTCAGGGATAGCCCATTCCCTACTCTTCTGTGGACTCACTTTGTTAAGAAACAAAGCAGAGACCTTATTTAAGCACTTGACATGAAATTTTAACTACTATATGTTTTGGTTCCCATTCTTGGCAAGAATGAGTATCTCTCACTACACTTTCTTGTTTTCCCTTAAATCATTCTCAACTATTCTATCTTTATCTTCCATTGGCAGCTGGTGGGGCTGGTTTCATGTTATTTTCCTTGGCCTGTCTTTGTGTCACTTCTTGTTTGGTTCATTAAAATAATTCATGAAGAACAAGTTTTCTTTTAACTTCAAGTATGTTCGTGGCACAGAATGATAGGCTATTGCCCCAAATATCTGGTGGTGAGACTTCTGAACTGCTAGAATGTACGTTACCAGTGAGTATGCAGGCTGCCTTCTGCAATCCACCTATTTTGAACCTTGAAAATTTTGAATGCAGATACTGGCTAGATAGGAGGAACATAATCTCTTGCTTTTTCAAGCTGAGGACCTCAAGCTCCTTCAGGAAAATGAACTTGCTATGCAGAAATACATGAAGTTCTGTAACCCTGTTCCTTGTGAGAATATGTGAATTCTCACCATGCTCTCATGCAGGCAGGGAGCGCTACCCTATGCTTCAGAAGTGGTATGCCTTCTCAAAAATGCGCTTTAATTATTTTTCCACTGATCTTCCCAGATGCTTTTCTGACCATAAAGCATAAAGGTCACAACTGTTGTCCCAGTTAATGTGTGTATGTTCTTTTTGCATAGTTTTGGTCAATAGTCCTAGGCCATAAAATCCAAATAAATCCTTCTGTGTCCATCATTAAATTTGCAGTAGGATTGTTCTGAAGAACAGTTTTATACTTGAAGTATTGAGGAATTCCTTGGTAGTTGACACCAAGAATGTCTGGGAGAAGAATTAAGTGCTGTGGGAAATATGTTACTGAATTGCTGAATGGCCTCCTTAGTCAATGTCCCCTTAGTCAATTGTAAGTATGAAATTGTGCAGATAATGCTGTATTTTGATCGAGAATAAAAACTCTTACACTAACTGCTTCTTTTAAGAGTACTAGGAGTACCTGTATGCAAGAAAAATGCTCTTAAGTCAACGCTGGAGGATTTTCAGCCCAAATGGGATTTACACGTGACAAGGAAGAATGAAAAAGCATAATGAGCTGTAATGATACTTTGACATGAAATTTAATGAAAGGCTGTAGACCTTACCACTGGGAAAGAAACAATCACAATTTTGAGAATTTCAGTGAAAATATTTTTCTAACTGAAATAAGTTATCCTGTGGAAAGATAGTCCGCTCTGTTTTGGTGTTTTTGCTAAGAAAATATGGAGTCAGTAGTATGGCTCTTGATAAGCTACCTCACTTTGCAGATCATTGTAGGGAAGCTGAGCTGCTGTCAGCTTTACGCAAATGCCAAGTGGAGCTCGTGCCACTTTGGCTGAAATCTGCGTGGCCACTAGAAACTTTAGTTCAGTGTCTCTCGGATTTCTCTAGTCTGAGGCATGAATGAGCAATTCCTGCAAATAGAGATTTTTCTAGTTCCTATACCTATAAGAAGAAAGTAAGTGCTTGCTTGCTATCTAGAAAAAAAAATACTTGCCTACCAGCCAGTGTGGTTTCAAAGGGACAAAGAAGTATCTCACTTTTTGCAAAAGAAGCCGAGTACAGAACAACTGTGTAGAGTGCTGGCCTCGGCTGTGTCTGTGTTGCCATTAAATCTGGAATAGACATTTTGCACTAAACCCTCTACTTAGCTCTGCTGACCAGTTCTTACAATGAAACAGTTTCATAAAGGGATGAAAACAAAAGCTATTGAAGCTTGAAGCATCTTCAGTCTCCTTTTAGTGAGACACCTATGGTATTTAAAACTTTTTTTTTGCTCCTGCACTATTGAATTAGACATTAGACTGAATTAACTGAAAGACTGCTTAACCTCGTGTGACTGAACCAAACTAGAGATGGCTGAGGAACTGTTCAGTTGTTTATTCAATCAGCAAGCCAATGTTCCTGGTACAGCTGGTACCTCTGCCTATGTTTTCTCAGGTGTAGTTTGAACAGATGATGACACTTCTGTTAGAATTCCTAAAATTATCGCAGGCTTCAAAGGCACGTGTAAGTATCTTAAAGAGATTAAGAAAGCATAATTTATCAAAGCAAAGTATGAAAGAGAATATTTCTAATCTTGGCACTAAAGTTGTAAGTCACCCATGGTAGATAAATACTGTCCCGAAATCAAAATACTGTAATTTTACACTCTTTTAAAATATATTTATGTAAATTATTATTTCCTGATGTCCCTCTCACAAGCAAATGTATGGCTTCAGGAGGTGTCATAAAGACATGATTCAGCTAATCTGACTCTGTAGTTAGGTCACTTCACTGAAAAAAAAAAAAAAAAGTTGTAGGAGAACCAATGACACATTTCCACCACAAAGAGCACAAGACATACAAGTGTTCTTTTAGACAAAAGCGACTCCTAATCACCTGGAGATCCACAGGAGGCAGAGCGTGAGCTGGTGTGGCACCAGAAGCTCCACACACGAGCATTTGCCATGAAAGCCTCGACTCTGGGATTGCAGTTGCCAGCACGCTGCATTTCTGCAGTGTGATCAGTATGTAACTGCGTGTTTCAGCCATAAAATTGTGTCAATTCACTTCTAGAGAACCTAACGGAAAATATTTTCATCTCGAAGTGAAAAACACACCTCCTCCCTTTTTTTTTTTTTATAGATACTATTTTTGAGGGAAGAAAGAAGGGAGAGATGATGATGAAAGACAGCAGCAGAGAGCATTGTCTGTCATAGCCAAATTCCATCATGGATAATTCTGTCTTTGGCTCAATTTAGGAGATTTAAATTTAATCTTGTCCTGTTCTTTGTCTTCCCCGCACTTTGACTGAAGGTAGGAAACCCCTATGGCACCTTAGAGATTGTGAAGCAAGTGGCTCCTCAAGCATCTGTGACGTTTGGGATGAGTTCTGCTCCTCCTGGTATTCTAGACTATGCCTCTTGTGATTACAGATTGTTTGCTTGCATAGCAGGGCGGTATTTAACACATTTTAGCCCTTTTTAATGTTATTCACTAGGCCTCAGGTTAGAGGTTGAAAGCTGATTAGGTATAACACGTACTCTTTGTCTTAAATAACGTCGTTGAACTGCTGAATGCTGCCTAATAGCAGTATCTGTTGCCAGAGCTGGTCGTACGTTGCTGGAGGAGTCGCTCCATCGTACGGTTTGCTTTTGCTGGCTGCACTGAAGAGGGTTATTAAAACCTGGAAGCTGGCACATACCCTGTGTGAGAGGAAAAACGAGATTTACCTCCAGTTTGTCCAAGAGGAATAGAATGTGCTGTGCTGCAAAGCTTCTTGTACAGATTAATCCTTCCATTACTCATCTTATTGCTCATCTGCTGAGGAAGGAAAAGAGGAGCGCTGACCCTGCTCCTTGGTGGCCTTTTGTAGTAAAGACAGGTAAACACAGTCTATTCAGAGAAAAAACAGGTGAACTTTCAAGATGGAGCTATTCCTGCTCAGGCATCTGTTGAAAAATGCAGTCATTGCCATTGATGGAATTATTTTTCCATGTGAAAAACATTTCTCAACCGAGGAGCGTAGGGCAGGAGAGCACAGAGACGTGGGAGAGCGTGAGATGTGTAGGAGTCCAGCAGTGCTTATGCCTGTTCTTGGGTTTTATGTCTTTTTTTTTGTTGTTTTTTTTTTAAATCAGTATGATTTAAAGTAGCGTGTCAGATGGGGAGGCAGGATATCTAAACCAGTTGTTTTCCTATAATTGTTTAATCACCTAATCTAAAAGGCTGAATTCTGTGTCTGCGAAGGCTGCTTCACACCGCAGGGGGAGAAGATGCTCTTTGCATAACAGACCTCTCCCTCTGCTTCTTGCAGTTGTTGTCTCTTGCAGCAGAAACCTGTCGCTTTTAGGGCACGCTCCGACGGCGTAGGCTGCAGGGGCCTCATCAAAGCAAGTTTTCGTGGTATGGAGAGGGGTCAGGTCCATCTCTTGCTTGAAGAAAGCTGCACACGACCGCACGGTCTGCACGGGGCTGTCCATGCAGTCCCACTGTAGACCCAGTGTAAAACTTCACTAGCGTGTAACATCAGGAGATATTGTACTTAATAAGATTTATACCTTACAGGTTTTGATAGCACTGGATAAAATAGGTTAGCTTTAGGGTTCGATAAACAGCAAAAGAGCTCGTTTTGAACTGGCGCTATGCCATGCAATAAGCTGCCCGGTATAGAATTATTTTAACTTCTCTCTTCTTCCTTTGGTTTGTGTTTGAAAGAAACGGACTCCAGAACTTTCTGGAAAATAATAACTAAAGAGAGATTTATCGACCTTTCTACTTGGCTAACAACAGTTTTCTCTGCTGTTCATAGCAGCGCAGTGAATCTGTCAAAACAGCTGGGAGGACAGCGCAGCCACTTAAGGTAAGGTAAGGGGCAGAAGCTTGCACAAAGATGGATTTATTTCTGCGTTCTCTGCAGTCGGGGAGGTACCAGTGCGGTTACTGCGGCTGGAGGAGAGGGAAGAGCTGTAATTTGGCGGTGGTCTGGATCAGAAAGCTCGGTGAGATGAGAATCTGCCCCCATAGCTAGCAGCGATGGAGATGGACAAGCGATAGCAAGGGCAACATCTGTCCGAGAGAGGTTCCCAGACGTCCATCTCCAGCACCATGACAGATCCTCATGTAGCACTGGTGCAGCGGGGCCTGGCTCACGGGGGTGCTGTCGCAGCAGCAATGAACTACGCAGTTCACATCATCCCCTCGGCTCTATCAGCAGTGAGAGTCTTCATTTTCACAGTCACTGCCTGGAAACTCAGATGTATATTCTTTTGGAGCTGGAATAGTCTGTGTAGGGTTTTCTTTTTCTTGCAGAATCCCCCCATTCCTCAGTGCTTTTCATTTGCTTGCTGGGATTTTTCAAAGCAGCTGAAGAAAATAAAAGGTGTGTCCAGGTTGCTGGTATTTTCACTTGGATTTTGGCTGCCAAAATTGTATTTAAGGCATTTAGGAGGTCTCCCAACTGTGCTGATATGCTAGGTTGTAACTGAGTTGGAAACAGCTTAAAAGGGGTACGGTTACTGGTGACGTTGGGAACAGCACCTCAGAGGAGCAGATTTTAACAACGGGGAAATCCTCTTCACGTTGTTGAATTTGTAGCTTTATCTCTAAAGGTCAACGCTGGCTGGACAGGTGTGCTGGGCTTGGCAGCATCTACGCGGAGGGGGCCTGGGATCAAACCCCGCCAGCCTTGGCA